TTAATTGCATCACAATTAAGGAAGGGAACATTCTGAACACATTATAAACCTGTACAGTTAGCAGAAGTTTCCTTAAATACCTCAAGTTTTTTTTTTTTTAAAAGCATTTTCTTTAATTATTTGTCAACAAAACATATTGACAAAAAAATTAGTTTTTTTCATGAAAGTAATTTCATTTTTAACAGTTTATGCTAAAAGTTAATCATGTACTATTTTAATCCTCGCAAAAGTAATGAGTAACAAAGCGAAATAAAAAAAAATTTGTAAGAACTTGATTTTCAATACTTATTTTAATATGTACTAAATACTACATTATTATTTATTTAAAAGTAATTCAAGTATAAAATTTTATTATATCATAATTGTTTTGTAAAATATTTAAGGCTAACAATTGTAATATTATCGACAATTTTATCTGTGTAAAAAAACAATCATTTTTGTACAATTATATATAAGTTCATATCTTCAATATGGACTAACAGTAAAATTGCCATATTTAAATGTTGTTTAAAATGTTTTAAATGATATTAAGAAAAAAAATAGTATTATGAATAGAGAGAAAATTATAAAACCAAATATTTTCGAAAAGTTGTTCAGAAAAAAAGTCACAATGAAAATAAATTTAAAATAATCTTGTATATTTATATCGATTTCATGATTTCAGCTCTTTTTTCTATTTCTTTTAATTCTTTATATTGTTTGAATAAATTAAGATAATTAGAATCATTTTTAATGCAGTCAAATTGATTGTTTCTTGCAATTATATCATTGTAATTTTTTTTTAATGAATCAAGTTCTTTTATCAACATGTTTTGAAGTATTAAATGACCCTGGAGAGCATTATTTTCTTCGTAAAGTTTGTAGAAAAATTGAAGTTTCAGAAATTCTAATTTTTTAAACATAATTTCAGAATTTATGTTTTGACATGTACACTTATCCTGGAACTTTTCTGAATACTTTTCTTTCATATTTATTATTTCTTTTAATAGTGGAACAATTTTTAATTTAGAATCAACATAATTATGTTCTGCTTTTGTATATTCCTTTAATTCATTGATGACCCCCTCGGTTGATTGACATTCTGATTTCAATTGAGTTGAGTTTTTCAAAGTGTGTTCAACTTCAATCCATTTAATAAGAGCAGAAATAAAATTATTTAAATTTTCATTCATTCCATTTTTTTTTTTTAGTGACCATCCATGTTTTTTTAAAATTTGATTTTCAAGTTCTTCAGGTATACTGATGTCTGGATTTGCAAGAATCATTTCTTTAACTGTGGCAATGAGTTTATTTTTGATTTCATTGTAATTCATTTTCAATGATTAACAACTACATCGATATGATATTTAATGATTGGATCTAAAAAATAATTAAAAACATTTTCAAGGTGATGTATAATTATTTGATTTTATACAAAAAAAAAATTATTTCTAAAACTGCTTTAAATATAAGGCAGTTTTTAATATTAAATTTTCTTGCATAAAAGTTAGTAATGAAATCTACTAAAAGAGAGAAAAATTTAAATTCTTACATTAAAAAATTCAAAATTATTTCATTATAAATTTTTTGACACTTGGCAAATTTGAAATATACCTGAAATTATTAATAAAGGCGCGCATGCGCCAGTGCCATGATGATGTCACTTCGTGCTAATGAGTCGTTCATTCGTCAGTGAATGCTAATTGTATTTATTCAAGAAAGGTGAACACTATTATATTTGTACATTTTTATTAAGTTTATATTATTTCAATTTAATTTATATTAAAACGAATCGAGTCGTTCGGTTTTTTTATTTTTTTGTATCATGCATAGAATTTAATATTGTTAATTGTACGCTTAAAATTTTATGTTGAATTATATGCAGCTGTGCCTTGTTATATTAATGTTGATTATATAAATAAGAGAGTTATATGTTTATATGTGTGCATTGAATAATGTTTTTTATTGTTCATTATTTATAATTATTTCTTATAAAAATATAAGTCGCCAAATTGGATAATAAAGTATCACTTTTTTGTGTTCAGCGACAGAGGTCTTCAACGGCTTCTGAATATGTAAGTTTATTTTTAGTTATATTAGTTGTTGGCATTGTCATTCCCTGTAATTATTTATTATTAAACCACGCTATATTTCATTTAAATATAAATTATATACTAGTAAAATATTTAGTATAATGACAACCTAAAAAAACAATAGTTTTTATTTTATTTAATCTTGGAGTGGGGGGGGGGAAAAAAAGAAAACAAATACAAAAGGAAATACAGTTAACAAATTTGCCTTTGAGTCATAATAAAAAAAATAAGAATTCTTAAAAATATATCATTTTATTAAAAAATTACTTTTTCATGTGTCATCTCAAAAAAAAAAAAAAAATGCAAAACTATTTCTACCGAAAAAAAAAAAATTTCAGTTTCATTCATTTTGATACTTTCGAATTGTTTGTAATGAAAAATTATTCATTAAACACTGACACAATTATTATTAATGTTCTTTTTTTTATTGAATATTGTTAAAAATTGATTTATCCATTTTTACTTATATTTTAAAACAAATAAATCAATGATATTAAATTTTTGCTTTTATTGTAATGTTTATTTTAAGTCAAGATTGAATCGAATATCATTTTATAATTTCTATCACTAATGTAAAAAAAAAATTAATTTAAATTAAATGGTTTTCCAGTATGTTGGTGCTTTTAATAATTATATAGAAAAGAAAATATTATAAATAAATCAAAAATGAGATGGATATAAACTTT